AATATAATATATGAATAAGAAAAGAACATGAAAAACGTACAAAATTAAAAATATGTATTCAAACAATATTTAAAACACAACAACAACAACAAAAACAACAACAATGATAACTTTAGATCAATTTAATTCAATAATAATCACAAAAATAGAAACAAATAGCAAAGTCCTTCAGCCCTCAGAAATCTCTGGGAAGACATCTTCATAATCCCTCATGGACTGTTCCGGATACGTTCCGGATTCAGATGAATGTTAGAGCAGCGACCTGCCATTAAGCTTTTTTTCAGTTGTTCCAGCAGTTGGAGGGCACCTCTATTGCTGCCACCGATACACTTTTGTAATTCCTAAAAGAATGAATTCGTCACGGTGCATTCGATAAAACAATTCAGATCTGTTCGCTCACAGCAACATCCTCGAGTGTTCAAAGCCAGCGAAATAGCACATCAAATATATCAAGTAGAAGATACGAGAGAATCACTTTGAGATATGAGAAAGTGATTCACACAAATCGAACACTCTCAAACCAGTCATTACGATGTCGAGNAGGGAACGTACAGTGATCAGATGGTTGTGCGATGATTCGCTGCCATCTTGAGAAGTCGTGGTTGTTGACTGTGATTTTTGCGGGGTATTCACCACCGTATCCGCCGTACCTCGCTGTGCCGTCGTTAACCCATCCTCATTGCTTTCTCCAAACGAATTGGGTATCTTTTCATTGTTTTGTTCAGCATTCGATGATTTGAATCTGTATACATATGATAACTGTTTCAGTTAGTATGAATTAGAACAGAAACATTTGCCCTTAATTCAACTTTATCACAACAATATCACTGTTTACAAGACAATGTTCTGGGTGGATGAAAATTTTCGAAAATTTAAAAATTTCCGTGGTCGTCACCCTATATCAACACAGTTTCATGAGCCATACAATTCAAATGTGGAAAAAGATACGACCATACTTGCGGGATACGTTAAATCGCAACAACTTTTCTCAACGAAAACATTTTTCAAGGTTGGATGACTTTGATTACGACGCAGGAAGGATGAGCCAAAAGAAACCACTTTTCACATTCTCATGTCAGTGTGTACAGCTCAACAAAACTATTGCGATGAGGAGAAAATTTGTATGAGAAACTCAGTTGAATTATTGTGGCAAAAAGTAAATTAGATGAAATTTTTGGTGAGTAT